GGATTTTATCACCAAGTTACCAAAGATTACCAAGGAATTTGATGTTATCTGGGTCACCGTGGATCGATTGACCAAGAACGCCTACTTTTTAGCCATCCGGGAGAGCTCCTCGGCTGAGAAATTCATTGATGTGTATGTTTAGGAGATTGTTGTGCGTCATGGGGTTCCGGTTTCCATAGTATCAGACTCTGATATTCGGTTCACTTCCTGATTCTAGCAGAAGTTCCACGAGGAACTGGGTATGAGGCTACATTTCAACACTACTTATCATCCGCAGACCGACAGCCAGAGTGAGTGGACCATCCTGACACTTGAGGATATGTTTCGAGCTTGTGTCATAGATTTTGGTGGGGGTTGAATTCCTACCTACCTCTTATGGAGTTTTCCTACAACAACGGTTGTCACTCCAACATTGGTGTCCCAGCGTTTGAGCTCATGTATGGTCGGAGATGTCGTACCCCAGTTTGTTGGGGGGAGATTGGTCATAGAGTCATGGGAAGGAATGAAGTATTCCTCCAGACCACAAAGTTTATCCATCAGATCAGCCAGAGATTGAAGACCGCTCAGAGTTTACAGAAGAATTATGCCGAACGATGCCGATCAGATTTGGAGTTTTAGGTCAGCAATATGGTAATACTGAATGTCTCACCATTATATTACACTAATCCGTGTGATCGCCAGGGTGGCTTACCAGTTGTATTTGCCAAGTGAGCTCAGTTAGATCCACAACACTTTCTATGCTTTATAGTGGTGTAAGTATGTGTTGGATGATGAGGTAGTGGTCCTTTTGGATGATATTCAGGTCGATGAGCACCTGAATTATATTTAAAGGCCGGTAGCGATAGTGGAGAGAAAGATGAAGATCCTACACAACAAGTAGGTACCTTTGGTAAAGGTTCAATGACAACATCAGAGAAGCTCTTAGTGGACCTGGGAGCCAGAGGTGGAGATGCGGAAGCATTATCCAAAGTTATTCGCGACAGCCAACTTCGAGGACGAAGTCTACTTCAAGTGGGGGTGAATTTTAACATCCTTATGATGAGGTATTTTCAATTTTAACTCTATGTATGAAAGTATATTGCATTTTGACCTTTGGGATTGAGAAAAATTGCAAGAATGGGCCATAATGGCATTTTGGTAATTTTAGCCAAGAGATTAGTACGCTAAGCATACATTGTGTACGCTAGGTGTAGTGGGGAATACCCTAGTACACTAAGTATACACCGCGGATGCAGGGCATACATTGTAAATCCTTAAACCCTAATTTTTAGGGTTTGGTCCATATTTAAGCATCCATATGAGAAAACGACCCTTTAGCCAACCCTAAGTGAGAAGAGTGCATCTTGAGCTTATCTTTGTGTTTTGTGGTATTCTTGAAGAAGAAGAAGGTGGTAAGAGGAACTTCGATCTTGGAAGCAACTTGGATATAAGATTATTTGCTTGGCAACCTCCAAGAGGTAAAAAGCTAATGACTTTATCATCTTATCTTGTAGATCTAGGTGTTTCTTCATTTAGGGCATTTTTGGTACCACTTAGGATGATTCTTGAGCATGGCATGCTCTTAGTCGAATTATTCATCCTTTCATACCTAATGAGGGGTTTTGAGTCATAAAAATGTGGTCTTGATGCTTAGTTTTTCTCCATGCATCCTTTAGAAGGTCTTAAGGTGTTAAGAACTTGGGATTTTGTGTATTAAGCACTTAATGGACATGCAAAGTCATATAGTTGGAAACTTTATGACTCTTAGTGGTATTTTGGCATTGGATCTAAAATTTAGACGTTAGAACTTAATGCATTAAGCTCTTATTGAGAAAAGAAGATTCTGAGCGTACGATGTGTGTACCCTAGCGTACACTGTACGTACCCCAACATATGCCGTACGTGCGTGGTTAAAGTCCTGAATCTGGTCAGGGCAGGATTACGCCCAGGGTAGGAGCTTAGTACGCCCTGTGTACTCAGCTGAGTGGACCAAGCTCACTCCTTGACCCGTTGACTTTGACTTTGACTTTGACCAGGTTGATCAACTTTCACTTAAGAGTATTTTGCGTATTTCAAGATATAGTTAAGCCTTGGTCTCTATCTGTTGAATATGTGACCTGTAGAGCCGATATTTGGAGCAGTGTATTATTCAACTATTTGTCAGACTGTGATATGAGTTTTCCTCACTATACCTGTGGGTCGAAGGCACCAAGGCAGACCCACTAGACTATTTATCCTAGTCAGGATAGTGATATGATAATTTTAGCTATTCATTAGATCCGTATGATTATCTGTATTTGTTCGCTCTATGTTTATGTTTGTTTGTTGCATATGTGGACATGTTGGGTTGGGTCGACATCGTCTTGTTTTGTGTTGTAGGCCAAGACACCTGGGGACGACCAGATAGGATGTAGGCTATGCGAGGCGGTCCAGTCGTGCCGAAGGCTCGTAGAGTGGTCTAGATAGGTTGTAGGCCCTACGAGGCGGTCCAGTTAGGCTGGTTGTTCATACTTTATGCTTGGTTGTTGTGGTGTGTTGGTATTTTGATGGAACTCACTAAGATTAGGCTTACATTTTTAGTATGTGGTTTCAGGTACTTCCGAGGATCGTGGGAAGACGAAGGCGTGATCGTACACAACTTTCAATTTTTATATCTTCGGATCTTACGAAAACTCTGATTTGCAATAATACTTTTGAAACAATGACTCTTTTTGTAAACAATATTGATTCATGGTTAGTTTTAAAAATTTTAAATTTATTGTGATTTTTGAAGTGTTACACTCATTTCGATCTACGAAATCAACTTATTAACCACTTATGAGAAACATTTAGTACATAAATATATAGTATTTTTTAAGCGTATGTATAATACTTTTAAAATGCATGTATGGTATTTATTTTTATTTGAATTAAATGTTATTTTTTTATTTAATAAACTAGTTGTTTCAATAATACGATAACTAATTATATATGAATAAGTAATTAATGTAATAGATTTTTAATAATACAATTTATATAGTTATATTAATAAAAAGTTATGGATTGAGTTTGTAAAATCTTAATAAATATAAATATAGAAGTTGTTTTAGTAAAATTATAAAACTTAGATTGATATGAATATACCAAGAATATTATTCTTATATAATAGGTTGGAGATGTTTAATGTTAAGAATATATTTACACTGTAGTTATAGGTTTTAGTGTAAAAGACAGTATCCGTCAGTAAAATGTCATGTGTTCTAATGACAAGACGAAGTTACCGATGTTTGTATTTTTATGTTCTTTATGGTTTTTTCTATATAAACGTTGATAATAAAAAGAAATATACATAAAATGATTTTTTTTTCTAAAAAATTAAAACCAAACAATTGGTTTTTAAAAGGTTTGATTTTTTACTCTTAATTTTTATTTGGGATAATGACTTAAAAGAATAACGAACTTTCAATTTTGTTCACATTTAATCACAATTTTTTTTTTTTTTTTTTTGTATTTGTATTTGATATATCCCTGATTTATTTGAAAGTATTTAAAATTTACGCTTATGACCGGTTGTAACCGGTCATGAGGGTAAAATATAAACAATTTCAAATAATTCCAGATAAATCACGCACAAAAAAGTTCAATGATTAAATATGAACACAATTGAAAGTCCGTTACAATTTCAAGTCATTATCTTATGAATGGTTCTAATTATTAAGAATGAGTACAATCGGAATATTAAGGTCACATAAGTGAGTATGTTTTAATATTCATGTGATATACCTTTAGTGTATAAGTTACAAAAAACAACACTTCTAAATACAATATGAGCTACTCAATCACATAGAAACCAAACAAAAAGAGATTGTGGTGGGTTCAAACATTTACTCAAGACATAGACAACAATCTTCATTTTAATGGGTGGAGATAGTCGTTGTAAATCGTATGAAGAATAGAAAACATATGATAAAGAAGTATAAAGATAATGTGATGTTAGATTTGAATGGTGTTTTTCTCTTTACAACAACAATAGCTTTGATTAGAGAGTGTGTATGCATAAGCTCATGGTCGTGGAGCGGTACATGAGCAGTAAATGACTTTTCGAGGTTTTTCACTTACAACAACACAACCATGATCTTATGCATCCATACTCTTTAATCAAATATCTTGTTGTTGTAAAGAGAAAAACCTCATTCAAATCTAACATCAAATTATCTTCATACTTCTTTATTATATGTTATCTCTTCCTTGTATGATCTACAACAACCATCTTTACCCTTTAAAGTGAAATTTGTCACCTATTCCCAAGTAAATGTTTGAACCCATCACAATATTTTTTTCCTTCAGTTTCTATAAGATTAAAGTCGCTCTTACTGCATTTCTAAGTGTTGTTTTTGTACCTTATATACTAAAGGTATATCATACGAATATTACAACATACTCACTTTTGTGACCTTAGATATTCGTTTGTGTTCATTCTTAATAACATTCAGAACTATTTATGAGATAATGACTTGAAAATGTAACGAACTTTCAACTTTGTTTACATCTAGTCACTGAAAACTCATTACTTTTTCAAATCAAAATCCAATTTTCTTTTATCATGGGTTTTTGGTGCATTTCAGTTTTGATGCATACCCCTAAATAATAAAGAAATTTATATTCATATCAATTACATGACGCACAATATATATATATATATATATATATATATATACCATTAGACTATTCTTTTAACTTTAAAGAGAAAGAATATCACTTAATACATATCATATACCACTAGATTAGAAGTCATTTGGTTGTGTTTAAAAAAATATATTTGGTTGTTTTTAAAATTAATTTTGCCTTGCAATTTTTTTTTTTTTTTTTTTTTGTTATTAATATAGTAAAATGCTTGAAACTTTTTTTAATATATGTAATATTTTTCTTGAAAACTTTTTAAATATGAATCGCTTAGTTGAAATATGTTAGAAGTATGAATCACTTTTCTATAGAAGAAAAACACACACTTCCAAAAAAATATATAACTATATAAGTGTACACTAACCTACGGTTGCGGAGAGCCAAGTAGTGCTTCCGCCCGTGACGCTCTTATTCCCGGTAATAATTGTTGTATTTTTGTCCTCCCCGATAAACATTATGTTGGTTTTGTTTTTTGGAATTTCAACATTCTCCCTGTACACCCCTGCCAATATCTTTATCACGTACCTGTTCTTGCTCTTCGCCGGCGCTGCTGCCACGGCCGCCGCCACTGTTGTGTACTTTCCCTTACCATTCTTCGACACAATCGCGTTTGGCGTCGGTCCTATCGGCCATACCTGTAACAATTTCCTATCTCTCCTCGACAACCACTCCGGCCACTTCACAACCTTTTTCTCCGTCAGCTTTCGTGCATTCGAATCTGCCTTATAATTGGCCATATCTGTGTCCGTCATGTTCGTGATCATACCCAGCACATTGCTACACATCTTTCCTCCCAAATCCTGACCTTCAATGATTGATTCGCGCAGTCTCCGGCAGTCTGCATCATAGGAGAGGCCGTCCAAGCAGGCTTCCTTGTTGGTGATGGCGGTGCTCATGAGGGTTTTGAGGTCGTCGGCATGTTGTCTTAGGGATTTCTTGGTTGGATACTCCTTGAGTTCGCTGATCACCCTGTCGAGATCTTCTAAAGTTCCGGATACCATCTCTAGGCAGTCATGGAGAGCCAACTTGCCGCGATTAGTGAGATTGCCAGTGGCTGTGAGCTTCTTTATGCTGTTGAAGTTTCCTTGGATTATCTCTTTTGTTTTATTGATTGCATGTTGGATTACATCCTTGTTAGTTGCAGGGTTTTTGGTTGTGGAGAGGGTGGAATAGCATATGTCAGGGTATAATGTGGTGGCACACGAGGATTTGATGATGTCGGAATCTGGAAGATGAGTTCCATGGATGTGAGAAGTTAGAAGGAGGGAAGCAAAGAGAAGTAAAAATACTGTGGTTTTTTTGTTGCTGGAGATGAACATAGTGACGACTACTTGTGTGATCGCGTACTGTGGTCACTAAATTAGAATAGGAGGAGACGCATGCATGCAATCGGGTGGTGAGTGGAAATAATAAGCTAATAGAGTAGAAAGAAGATGGGATTTATTAATTAGGCCGACAAGTAATTGATACGTCAAAATTGCTCCGTCAATAGGGTAGTCATGTGCTGAATAAGTTTTTTGTAACTAAATATCACTAAAACATGAGTAAACACAAAGACACAAACAAGAAACTCGAACCAATTATAAAAGTAGTCTAAAATAAGAAATGAGTTCCAAGCAGGCAAACTAATATGATTACAGTTGAACCTATTTTTAATCCAATTAAAAGTAATTAAGCTAATACTCATTTTATTAATTAATTAATGGAAGTTGTGAATGTGTTATAAATATCAAAGTTAGCTAGCTCTGTTAAATTATCAAAAACAGAAAAACTCCATGTTTCCGTGTGGGGTTTATTAATTAGGCCGACATTTGTTTTTTGCTCTTTTCAAATGATAACCTCCATGCCTACGTACACATAACTGCAAGCAAGTCTGCAACATTACTTCCTTTTTAATGCTACGATATATATTTTTTAAAACCATATAGTATGGTAAAAAAGCCATAATTTTCTATTCTTCCGAGTTTTCAAATATTCTTTTTTTGTTTTATCAATTCCTATATAATTGGAAAGAACAATGATATGTAATAAAATCATGGGGTTTTATGCTTACAACCAAACCTTTAAGGAAGTTATCTCGTATAGTTACTGGCCAGTCAAGAATCTACTATTTTCTGGTTGATTTTATTTTATGCTTCATTTTTAATTCGAATAACCTACATTCTTCTTCAACATTTTGTATAGTCAATTAACTATAATTGCGAATGATCAATTTGATTTATGTATGGAACTTATTGGTAATCTGATAATAATAATCTGATTATATTTTTAACATTATTTGTTTGATTGTTTGCTTTTGTTATAACAATTGGATAATTAATCACTAATATAATTATTAACCCACAGATAATGACTTAAAAGGATAATATATTTTTGTGATTTGTATACATTTGCGCACTGAATTTTTTTTAGGACCGACAATTCTCGATACGACACGCGACACGATCGACGACACGACACGAAATAAATGGGTTTGGGTTGAGTTTTTCAACCCGCCAACCCGCTAACCCGTCAACTCACCAACTTGTTTATTAAACGGGTCATATATGGGTTTATCAAAAAATAAACGGGTTGATCCGCCAACCCGTTTATATTTTTAATTAAAATTTTTATTTTATTTTAAATGTATTTATGTATCAAGTATTAATATTTAATAATATTATATAATATATACCATTGATTCATAAACCATTTGACTGTTTTAACAATTTGACTCGTGGTTGATGACCTAACGTCGTAAGTCGTAACCTATAAGACTAATTTTGTAACCATTTTGCCCATTTGCCCTAAATAATAATCTCAAAATCAAATTGTGTATGAGCATATCTCCCTCTTCCATACTTCCAGACTCCCAGTCTCGCACAGTCCCACTCTCCCCTTACACTGTGATCGAAATCAGGTATCAAAATCAAATCGTGTATCAAAATCACAAACGGCGTTGACGCCTGAAGGCTGAAGCGGTGAAGCTCATGAACCCGCCAACCTGTGAACCCGTATAAATAAATGGGTTGGCGGGTCCTATATGGGTTTATGTTCCAAACCCGCCAACACGTGACCCGCCAACCCGTGACCTGTATATTTAAATGGGTCGTGTTTGGGTTGACATATTCTGACCCGCCAACCCGTCAACCCGCGACACGTCAACCCAAACAAGACACGATTGTCAGGCCTAATTTTTTTGTCAACATTTACTTTTTCAACTTGTTAAACTGTACACATTCAGTATTTATGACCGGCTACTCAAAGTTAACCGGTAAAAATCACTTAATAGGATAATATATTTTTCACTTTATACATATTTAGTGCTTTATACACACACACACACTAGAAAATCAAGTATTAGCGACAGAATCAGCGAGGGAAATAATCCCTAGCTAATCAGCGGCAGATTTGCAAGGGATCAGCGACGGAAAACAAGAAGATATCTATTTTGAATATTTTGGCAATTTACCAAGGGATTAGAGAGGGATTAGCGATGGAAACAGCAACGGAAAATATCCCTCACAAATCTCTCGTTGAATTCGGTCGCTAGCTTCAGGTCCCTCTCACTTGTTTCACTAATTTTCAATTCCCTCTCATTTTTTAAACTGGTTTTCAATTCCCTCCTATTTTTTCTTTCCCCCCCGATGCCTCCCTCCCAAATCCATATTCTTAATCTAATTTCATTTGGTACCCCCACCCCAATATCGACTCCGGCTTCCCCTAACTCCATTATCGTTAATTCCATCCGCCCATGCACCCATTATTGTTGATTCTGGCCGCCTCTAGCCACATCATCGTCGATTCACGACTTTAGGTCAATGATGTTAACACTTCAATTTCTCTTTTAGACGTCGATCTCCACAATTAACTTCTTTGTTTAGACTTTAGGTCAACGACGTTAACACTGCAATCGCATCACCCCATCATCAAGACATTCAAGTATGTGGTATGTGTGTCTGATACTTTTATTTGAATGTTGTTAAAAGGATTACATTTTTCCAATTATTATTTTTTGTTGGTTTTGGCCATACTTGAAAGAGGTGAAATATGTAGAGTTTTATGTTTCTTTGAAGTTATCTAGTTTTGGTTTTGACTATGCTCAACGTTATAGGAATCCAAAGTAAAGGTGTGTTGGTTGGCATCTATCACCAATAATAGAAATAGAAGGGGGAAAAGTGTACAACATTTATGAACAAGAATGATGAACTACGAGTTGAAACTTCAGTAATCCATGAAAAGAGAATGAAATAAGTATTTAAGGTAAGTTCATATATGTTATCGTATATAATAGCCCTAGATATTATATAATTCTTTTGTTACGAATCCATATCTAGAAAAATATTTACATTTTTATCCTTAAATTTATAACCTAACAGATTGATATACCAAAACATTCAGCTATATATTTAAATGAAAAGCTGGAAGCATTTTTCACGCAGTGCGTGAAGCTGTAGTTATGTTTCCCCTGCCTATAAGTTTGAAAGACATCAAAGTAGTTTATCAGGTATATACATAGTGATTGTAACATCCATAAAATTCGAGCAAATTTAAAACTTTTTAAATCATATAAAACCATTCAATTATTACAATTTGTTTTCAAAATAGTTTAAACATCAGAGTTCCCAGAAATCATAATCATCAATCGATGAAGTGTACGGTCATGCCTTTGCCCTCCCACGGTCATCCGCTGAACCTGAAACAATAAACTGAAATTGTAAGCCCGAAAGCTTAGTGAGTTACCCCCAAAATACCAACCTCAACCATATCATATCAACAAATATAGAACAACCATGCATCTTGAGTCTGTAGTGTGATTGGTCCGCCCGCATCAGGCCTTCAGTCCACCTGGTCCACTCCCTGAGTCTACAGTACGACTGGACCGTCTGCACCAGGCCTTCAGTCTGTCTAGTCCACTCTCCGAGCCTCGGTACGTTTGGACCGCCCTCTCGGGCCTTCAGCCTATCTGGACCGCTCGTTGGGCCTTCGGCCTAACTATGTGCCCCTTTCGGGTCTGCAGTCTATACGGTCCGCCTTGGTATGTTGGCCTACAGCACAAAGCAGGATCCGCCTCAACCCAACCCTAAACAAACAACCATGTGCACATATAACATATAATCACATAACAGTCCATAGACAAACAAACCGATCTAACATATTATATAGCATAGCAACATCCTAACTAGGATACCAACTTAACCGGTCACTAACAATATACCATCCTAATTACCAGGATGCAGATTTAACAAATCAATAAGCATATCAAACAAAACCAGTATACAATCTGAGGAAGGGTCGGCCTTGGTGCCTTAGACCCTGTTGATATAGTGAGGATAACTCACCTCGCAACACCGATCTGAACTGAAGAAACGAATTCCCGGACCGCTATCTCACTGGAAATCCCAAACTATCACATAATAAATACCAAGTCATTACACAACATAACAATCTTGGCAAAAGGATCCATTCAATCCATCATGTCCATTCCCTTTTATTGGGCCAAGGCCCAATTCCAAGTCTATAACTTTGATAGTCTTTATGCAAGGACCATTATTGGCCTAATTTACTAAATTTGGCCCAACTTCCTTATTGGGCTTAACTGCATGATCCACTATCACCAAAACTGCTCCTAGACATATCTACTCAGAAGCATAGCAAGGCCTAAACCCTACTAGCCCAAAAATTATCCCAAACCCAAAGCCCAAATCACCAAAAGTCCACAGAAACGTACGTTGGGTGTACTCTAAGGCTACACGGGGCATACATGGGTCTCGCATTGACTGGAAAACGCGACATTGACTTAGTACGTTGGGCATACAGAACCTTACACTAGGTGTACGCAAGGTTTCACCAAAACCTTAATAAGTGCTTTATTGCTTAAGCACATAAGCTCAAACTCTAGATCCAGTGACTAAATGTGACTAGGACTCATAAAGACTCGAACTTTATCACTTTGGACGTCTAGAAAGCTCTTAATCCAAGGTTTTAATCCATTAAGACCCTTCTACATCATTCATGGGACATCTTAAGCCATTGTAACCTCATTTTTATCACTTGAGACCTCTTCAAGGTCAAGAAAGGACAACTTATGTCGTCCAAAATGCATCATGTACCACATTGGGGTTTTTGGGACAAGAAATGGTTCCATAATGCTAGAAAGGCTAGATCTTATGACCTACAAGCACAAAATTTGAAGCTTTTTACCTTATAGATCTTCTAGAGCACAACGCAACCTCAGATCTACAAGCCAATCTCCTTCTTCAACTATTTGTTGCAATGGCTTCACCTTCAAGAGCTCAAAATACCCACCAACTCACTCTCACACACAAGAACTAGGGTT